TACTCCTCTGAGCTTGGGACTTGGAGGCACCCTTCTTCTTCCCCAGGAAACTGATCTTTTTCAGGAAGAGGAATTGATCATTTCTTTACATGGAGCTACTCACGAACGAGAACAGTCACTTTGCTAGACCTATAAATTAATACAATGCCTTTTGATCTTTTTTCAAGGTTCGTTTGTTGAGAAAGACATTTTAATGTCATTATAAGCTCTCAAGAAATGGAAAAGAACTTTGAATTTTATATGTGGACCTGAATAAATAGATGCGTTGAGAGACAGGTAGAGCGAGTCATTTGCAATGCACGAGCCGACAGCAGCAATGCGCACCTACTCCAGCTCTGCTAGCTGCGCTTGTATTTTGGAGCGCTACAGAGCAAAAACTACTATTAATATAGGGTGGCTGCTGCTGCTGAATGCAGTCCTGAGTCCTTCCCAGAATTAGTTTAATTCACAGAACGGGTCAGAACCACGCGTGACAAGTCCTAGTGAAATATCATCGACTAAGGCTGTTGTTTTGTGAAAGTTAATAAATTACAGAAAGCCACTGGCAGAATCTGTTAGAATTCTAGTATTTAAAATGTAGCAGTTTACTCAAAAATGTTTATTTTCAAACACAATTTGGATTGACTGTCCTGTGACTAGGCTCCCTCTAGCAGTTGTTGGGGAGCAATATTAATCAATTTGGCTATGTTTAAAACAGAATGACTTCCTCATTATTATCTCTTGATGCTTTTTTCTTCTTCTTGAGAAAGTGAATGTCACCAAACCCGATACTGTGATGTTATAATTGTTTTTATTTCTGGATATAGAAATGCATTTTATTTGTGGGGAGTGTATAACACGGTGACACCAAAAAGGAAAGCTTAATCACAAACATAAATATGCAGAGTCTATTCTCTAAAAGGTCCAATTATCTGAAAAGTAGTCCTGAAGTATGGGAAGCTTTACCTTGCAGTGATGAAATCTCTTGGCAAATAGAATTTCCATGACTGGGAAAGGTTCTTATGGCCTTTTTTTCTTATACATTTTCTTTTGAATGGGCTTTGAGGCACTTCAAACAGTAACATGAGATACTGTGCTGCATCCTGAATTCCTTGTCAAATGTTCTTAATTTTACATGTTTCCTTGCTTAATTTTGCAGGTGCTTCTCATTTGACATTGAGTCAGTCACTTCTCCTTTCTTCAGATGCAGGTTTATTATAGGGTTAAAGGGAATATAGCCTTTTCACCCTCTTTCTTGCTTATGAGGTGCAAGTGGGTTACTTTGACATGACGGAGAAAGAGTATAGCGCAATTCAGTCAAACCCTGAAAAACAGCTTCCTTGTATGTATTAAAAAAATAATAAAGGATAGTATTTGTTTCATAAGACACTTGATGCTTAATTAATTAATGTTTGTAGAATTCTTTGAGATTATCAGAGGCAAGGTCCTGTGCAATTGCAGTATTTTATTAAAATATTTAGTGAGCAGATTCTCTGACCCAGTAATGGCAACAAAAAATACCTGTCCACTCTTGATTTTCCCTATACATAACTATTTCTACAGAACATAAATTTCATGTTGTACAGTCTTCCTCTGTTTTCAGAGGATAATCATACTAGAAATTCCAGCCGCCTTTCTGCGAAGGGATCTCTTTCTCAGAAACCACACCTTGTGCAAGTCTGTCTTACGTTTGAGAGGGTTCAAGAGGATCGACATGATTTATGTCAACATGTCTTTATCATTTGGCTGCTTTTGCACTATGGATATAGGTAAAATGGGAAGCCTCTAGTCACAAATGGTAATAATTCAGTCTGGAAGCTGTATTGGAAGCAGGTAATAAAGGACTGGAATCTTCTTTGTCTCTGAAATCTGGTAGAGGTTACTCCTGATATTATATCCATTGTAGCCAAAAGAGAAAGCTGTGATTTCTTTTGCGGTAATCTGAGTGTCTTCAGTGGAATCCCCATGGCGCACACACACACTCTAAGGGGGAACTTGGGCTTGGCTGCAAATGAGGCAAGACGTGATGCGGGATGGACAATGCCATTTACTCCATATATGAGATTAGAAGCATTTTATGGATATATTTAAGCATCTGATAGCCTCCTATGATGGGACAACTGGCTAGGTAGATGAGGGGGGAGAGAGCAGTGGATGTTGTCTACCTTGACTTCAGAGCTACCAACACTATCTCACATAACATCCTCATAGACAATCCCAGTGTGGGCTGAATGACTGGGCAGTGAGAGGACTGAGAACTAGCTGAATGGCAGAGCTCAGAGGGTTGTAAACAGTGGCACAGAGTCTAACGGCATCCCCCAGGGGTCAATGCTGGGTCCAGTATTGCTTAAGTTATTCATCAGTGGCCTGAATGAAGGGACAGAGAGCACCCTCAGCAAGTTTGCTGATGATACAAAACTGGGAGGAGTGGCTGACACACCAGAAGGCTGTGCTGCCATTCAGAGGGACCTGGACAGGCTGGAGAGTTGGGCGGAGAGGAACCTCCTGAAGTTCAACAAAGGCAAGTGCAGGGTCCTGCCCCTGGGGAGGAATAACCCCAGGCAGCAGTACAGGCCATCCCATTCAAGTCCTACTTCTCTTAGAAAAGTTTGGGGGTTTTTTTACATAGCTGTTGTGAAATCAAGGCTTTTCTCTTTCATTCATCATTCATCTGGATATGCAAAATCCAGACCTGTAGAACTGCTCCATGTGGAGTCTGCGGAACCCAGACTGTTTTCCCTGAGTAGCAGATTTCCATATATCTCATTATGAGGCACTTTTTGTTATTTATTTAGGCTCTGTTCCTTCAGAGGAATATTTACTGTTGTAGACACTTATACCTACCAAAGTGATATGTTATCAAGAACTGAAGAAAATATACCGGGAGGTCCCACTGGAGAATAAAAGCCTTATTTTGCAGAGAGGATGCTTGTTTCCAACCAATTTAATATTTTATGGAAACAGGAAGCCTCAAGTCATTTAGCTTTTGAAGATCTTTTGTACCCAACAAGGTTCTGGATGTTTAGTGAATGATGTAAGCCACAATGTGTAATTCATATCCCTTTTGTTTGGTAAAAGACTATAAGAAAGATGTAGGTCAATACTGCCAAAAGAAAACATCATGGACTTTAGTTGGTTGTTGTCTTATACAACTCAGTTTAATTTAAAAGGGCTTGACCTTTACATGCTGAAGAAGCTGTTATCCTCAGCATGCTTCAGTCTTCCCTCCTATGATAAAGGCAATTGATTAAACTGAATAAATGCATCTCTGGAATCCTCTTACTTCTGTTATTCAGATTTCAGGTCTATATGTTGTGCATAGACAGAATTATTTTATTTGTTCATATTATTTCCTTCTGGGGGTGAAGAGAATCATATAATCAGTCATAAAATAATTTAGATTGGGGGAAACCTCTGGAGGTTATCTGGGCCAGCCCCTTCTTCAGAGCAGGGCTGGCTTAGATCAGGTTGCTTAGGGCCTTGTTCGGTAGAGCTTTGCGTATCTCCAAGGATGGAGATTTCACAGTCCCTCTGGACCACTCTTCCAATATTTGATTACTCTCACTGTGAAAACATTTTTCCTGATACCTAATAGGATTTCCTTTGTTGTAGCATTTCTTCATTGCCTTTCATCCTATCACTGTGCACTTCTGAGAAGAGTCTGGCTACATCTTCCCTGTATTTTTCCATTAGGTATTTGAAGGCATCAGTAAGATGCCCCTTTAACCTTCTCTTAAGATTGAACAAACCAATTTCTTTCAGCCTCCCCTTGTACATTGCATACCTAGAAAGCTTTCTGGCCCACTGCTGGACTTGCTCTGGTTGGTTGCCATCTATGTTTTATTAGGGAGCCCAGAAGTGGACACAGTACTCCAGATGTGGTCTCATGTGTGCCAAATAGAGGGGAAGGATGAGTTCCCTCAACCTACAGGCTTTGTTTTTGCTTAGAAGTCCCAGTATGCCATTGGCCTCCTTTGCCACAGGGACGCACTGCTGACTTCCGTCTAGCTTGTTGTCCAGCAAGACCCCAGACTCTTTGTGTAGAGCTGCTTTCTAGCCTCTCAGTGCCCCGACTGTATTATTGCATAGGGTCATTTCATCCCAGGACAGCATTTGATATTAGCCTTCTTCAGACCTCATGAGGTTCTTATCAGCCCATTTCTGCAGCTTATCAAGGCCCTTTGGTGAAGAGCTGGTCAATAAAAGCATGTTGAAAGGTGTCGGAGAAGGTTTTATTCTCCTCGCTAGGCCTTTGGATTTGAAAATAAAATAATTGGCTATCCATCAGGATGTGATTGGCTATACAGTCAGTTATGACTGACCTGGAGGTGTTAATCTGAATGTTAAGGAATCTGAGAGAGGCTGAGGAAAACATTATTTGGACATTTAGAAACCATATTGCTGAATAACTTGGTGGACTATGATTAAGTTACTAATGGCTGTTGAAAGTTGTTTATGCTGTCTGGTGCATCAGAAAACCAAAATCCTCTCCTTCCAGCTATGACAAGATGCCTTAACTACAATACTCTGCATCTTATTGAAGAGGGCTAAAAAACATTAACTGTTTACAATGAAAAAATGTTTCTTGAGAGAATGCTTTGCGTTAATGGTAGTCTTGATTAAAGGTTTTTAATTATGGGGAGAAGTAGTATAACCTAATTTTATAGATGGTATCACTCCATACCTATTGTATCACCATGGCATAGAATAAATACATTTCCTTGTTATGGACTTCATCGTTCAAAGAATCACAGAATCACAGAATGGTTGAGGTTGGAAGGGACCTCTGGAGATCATCTAGTCCAACCCCCCTGCTCAAGCAGGGTCCTCTAGAGCATGTTTCCCAGGATCACATCCAGACGGGTTTTGAATATCTCCAGGGAAGGAGACTCCACCACCAATCTGGGCAACCTGTTCCA